GGATCGGCACATCGGATCGGATCGAAACGTGCATCGGATCGGGCTGCATCGGCACGGGATGGACATCGCCTCGGATCGGTTGCGCCAGAATGCACAACGGCGCTACGCAAGCGTCGGGCGACATCGGATCGTCGGAGCATCGGACTCAAATCAGATCGGAATCGAATCGGATCGGATCGGACATCGGATCGGACATCGGACATCGGTTCGGGCAGTTTTCCCTGCCAATGCGCCGTCTGGGCGCGGCTGCTGTGTGCGCGGCCAGAAGCGACATCGAACTTGATCGATCGGATCGAAGTGAACCTTGGAATGGGGATCGGATGGACGATACGGCAGGTTCGTGTAGTGCCAACTTGGGCGTTGGTTCCTGACACCGCGGGGATCCTTCCAACCTTGAACGATCGGCCGTGTCAGAATCGTTAAATCGTTAAATCGGTCGCCGGCGGCATTCACCGTTAAACGCCAGCGGCGGGGTCGCCGCTGGTCGACACGACGCGAACCTGTCGTTATTCACCCCCGAGCATGGAGGACGCCCAGCGACTAGGGTTAGGTCTGGCGTGTCCTCCTACAGGCGGATTTTGGCCGAAAGATGCAGGTCAAAACGTTGAACTAATACTCGCAGATACTACAAATCGTCCCCAGGCTACGTGTTGACCGTCTTTGAATCCTCCTCCTGCGGAGGGACAGGCCCGACTTCAGACTGCTGGGCTGGCAGCCCAGGCCGCGGCGGGCTCGCTGAGTGCCCTGCGTGCCTCGGCAGGCCGGGGCGGGCCAGCACGGGGGGGTCGACCTCCCCGAGGACCTCTCGGCAGGGCTGAACCTAAACGGTGTGTGTGCGTTTCGTGCTGTTGTTTTTCTTCCTCGGTGTGCCTTCGCTTCGCCTTCAATGCAAACTGTGAGGAGAAAAACCAAACGGGCCACGAGACGGCCAAAACACCGTTTAGGTCCAGCCCTGCTCCCGGCAGGCGGTGGCAGACCACTCCACGCGAAGTCGGCTGGGGGCCTGGGGTGGCCCAGCACGGGTTCTGGCCAGCAGGAAGGGGGGCGAGGCTCGAGGTGCGGGGTTCGACAGCTTGGGGCCTCTGTTGGGCCCCAGAGCCGTCAGAAGAGGGCCCTGGGAGGGGTCCGCGGACGGGCTTTGAGCGGACCTGGCTGCACCCCCCCTCCTGATCGAGAATCTGAGGTCCCAGCCGCCAAGTCAGACCCCCTGGCGGCCTCCCACATTCACTCTTGAGGGACTTGCGCTGTCCGACGGCTCACGCGGCCTCGTCTCTACCGGTCGCGGGGCGGGCTGCGCCCCCGCCGAAGGGATGGGGACACGGAGGGGGGAGCGGGGCGTGGAGGCGACGCACAAGGCAAGGTGTGCGTGCGGCGGCCCCACAAGTTGCCTTTCGCACAGCCTCCACCGCTGTCCCCTCACGGCCACACTGCAGGCCGAATGGCTGGAGGAGGCAAGCGGGGTGATTTTCTTGGGATGGCCGCAAGGGCCTTCTGCTTGCCGACAGAGTCCTGGAGCCACACGGGCTCACTGGAGAGCGGAGAGGGGGCAGGGGGAAGCTAGGAGCGCTCGCGCCATACCTGAAACTTCGACCCATCACACCCCTGCCTTCCCAGTGCGCTGATTTGCCTCTGTCCGCGGACACGTGTCTTAGCGGACCTGGAACTCCAAAGAGGAGCCCATCGTGCTATGCGAAATCGGAAAGAAAAAGGGAGCTGCGTACATTGGAGGAGGAGGAGGAGGAGGAGAAGGAGGAGGAGGTGGCGGATGAGCAGCAGGATGAGCAGGAGGACCAGGGAGGAGAATGACGAAGGAGTGGGACGAGGAAGAGCAGCAAGAGGTGCTGGGGAGAGAGGAGGCAGCAGGGGCCGGAGTGGAAGAGGCGGAAAGAGCAGGAGCGGGAGGACCGGGGGAGGGGGAAGGAGGAGGAGAGGGAGGGGGGGGGAGGGGGAGGAGAGGAGGAGGAGGAGGAGGAGGAGGAGGAGGAGGAGGGCGAGGGGAGCGACAACGACGAACAGGGACGCGGATCCAGAAGAAAAGGCCCGCGCTAAGGCGAGAGCGCCACTCTGAACGATTGGAGCAAGGCGCCGAACCGTAAATGCGAGGCCCACGATGCAGCGCAAGCACCATGTTGAAGGACCAGAGGCAATCAAAGCGGGGAAAAACACAGAACAACTACTGACAACGTGGACAGAAACGGCTATCTTCTGGACGGAGTCGGGGGAGAGAGGAGAGCAGTATTCATAGCGTGTATGCGTAGGGAAGGCGAATATTGTGCGCTCGCACTATTTCTGGCATCCTCCCTTCCCGCCCATCCGTTGCCAATGCGTTGCTTTTTGTCTGTCCGTGGACACGTGTCATAGCGGACCCGAAACTTCCTGCAAAGGCGACCCCATAGTTTTCTGAGCAATCGGAAAAGGGAGTTGCGTACATTGGAGGAGGTGGCGGATGAACAGGCGGATGAGTAGGGGGAACAACATGAGGATGAGGAAGGAAGAGGAGGACAAGCACGAACAGCAGAGGCAGGAACTGGAGAGGAAGGAGCAGGAGAACCAGCGTTCGTCATAGCTGACATCCTACACCTCGCACCCATCTTGCGCACGGGAATCGGATCCAGAAATGTTGCCCGCGCTGGGGCAAGATAGCCATCCTGAAAGGCAGAAGCAAAGCGACTGCTGATTCTACTGTGAGAACAACGCTACAGCGGGAGCTCCATCTTGAAACACCGAGCGCGGCCCGATCCGAACACGCATGCACGGCATCAGTGCCTGAGATCCTGCGGGGAAACAGATCAGCACGCGAGGAGAGGCGGCGCCAGCACTGCACAGAAACCAGGGGCGGGAGGGGGGGAGAGCAGCACTATACATATATATATATATATATATATATACATATATATACATACATATATAGTGTGAATACCTGTGGAGGCGGCCAGTGCCGAGGGGAAGGGAGGGGGGCGAGAGCAGAGCGAGGAGGGGCACCGACGAGGAGGTCGGCGGCCGCAGGCGCGCCCGTGCTGAGCAGGCGGCGCCCGCGCGGGGCACGCGGCGCACCGGAGAGGGGTGGCAGCGCAGAGGGTGGCCGCGGAGGGGCGGAGGGCGAGAGCTGGCCTCCTCCTCCTCCTCCTCCTCCTCCTCCTCCTCCTCCTCCTCCTCCTCCTCCTCCTCCTCCTCCTCCTCCTCCCCCTCCCCCTCCCGCCCGCAGGGGCGTCGGAGAGCAGAGGGCGGCCGCGGGGGAGGGCCGGCCGCCGAGAGCCGACGGGAGCGGGCGCCCGCGGGCGGCCCCGACGACCCAGACATCCGACGCCCTGATGTCTCTCCCGGCGGAGTCCCCGGGAGCCCCGGCCCTTGCCCTCGTTGTCGCTGTGGTCGTTGGCGCTATCGTTGTTCTCATGGTCTCATGGTGATCGCTGGGATCGTTATCGGTGGTGTCGTTGGCGTTGTTGTCGTTGTGACCGTTGCCTTTTCTGTTCCTGCAGAGTCCCCAGGGGTCCCGTCGGGGACCTGCTCACCCAGGTCAACCCAGACCCAGGTCAGTCATGCCCTGCAGGAGCCTGCAGGATCCTCCCAGGATCCTGCACCCAAGCCCGGGTCAATGCGCCCTTGGCTCTGCGAACAACCTAGCGAGCGAGCGCGCGACGTCGGTCTGACGGGGACCGGCCCTACGAGGGCAGCGCGTGGGGGGCCAGGGACCTCAGGAGTAGGAGTCGGCAGTGGGAGCAGGAAATCGGCGCTGGAGTCGGAGAGGCCGGACGACCAGAGCGGGAGGAACACGTAAAGCTGGAATCGGGGAGGTACGTCAGATCCTATAGGCTGTAGTAGGCGTAGGCGTGACCCGCGCTCGACTGACCCCCGATTGCACCGACCCCCGTATCTTGAGCCCCGATCCTGGCCCTTGCGCCAGGCGCTGGCGTGCCAGCCCGAGCCGCTCTCCGACGCCCCCCCCCCCCCCTGGATCACGGAGCCCAGCCGACCTGCGCCGAGAGCGATTAAAAAGAACTCCACCCTGGCCTTGGCAGGTGGCATGGGACACCCAAAAAGTGGGTTCGGACAGCTGGGGATGAGGCACAACAGACAGCAAGCGCTGTCCCAAGCCAGCGGCAGCAGCTGAACTAGCGAGCTCTTGCCACGAGCGGACAACGTGCGCGGCGACACCGGCAGCGAGCCCCACTCGAAACGGTCAAAGAACTGCTGTCGGTCTTCGTCACCAGTTCCTGAGATCCGACGCAGCGGAAAATTGCGACATCGTGTGAAAAACGAGAAACACGACCCGAGCCCCGGACACCTTTTCGAACCGCATCGATCTGTGAGGGCCCCAGGGCCTGGAGCTGGGCGGAAACGCCCGACTCGGGCAGATTGAGACGCCAGGATCTCGGGGACTGCTGTCGGCATTCGTCACCACTCTTCCCGTACCCACCTCGATCGCCCAGACTCAAGTGGCCCAGGGACGCACAAATGAATACACAAATATCCCATATTTTCCCACACTTTCCTGGGGATCGGCGATCAGTTGTGCCTGTGTGACTCTTCCCCTCCCAACAGACTGCTCACAACGTTGGACGCCGGGGCCCGGGAGCCCCCCCCGACGGCGGCCGGCCGGCACGAGAGCGCGGGCGGCCGCCCCCGCCCGGAGGCAACGAGGGGGGCGCACAGCACGGGGGGGGGGCGCAGCACGCGTACTACGAGGGCACCGATGGCCCGCGTCTTCGACGAGGCTCCCCGGCGAGCGCGCGCGCAGGGGAGGCCAGCCCACAAGAAACGCCCTCCACGAGAAGCCCAGCCCTGAGGCCCCAGGAGACCTCCATGCACTCTTGGCGCGGGAGCGCGTCGCGCTCCCCACAGCAAGGCCATCGAGGCCCAAGAAGCCCAGGGCCCAGGGCGCCCAGGAGGCTTATAACAGGGCGCTTCTTGGCAGGGGTCTCCACTGTGGTGCCCGCCCCTGGGCTTTTCGCCCCCGGCGTCGCCTCCGACCCCTCCGCGCGGGACCCCGCGCGCCGAGCCTGCCGGCGCGGACGTGCGCGGCTGCGCGGGCGCCAGGCGCACCGCGCCCTGCTCGGCCAAGCAGTGGTGCCTCGGACGGGGCGGCCGTGGCCGCCGCCGCCGCCGACGACGACGCCGACGCCGACGACGACGACGACGCCGACGCGCCCGACGCCGACGCGCCGACGCGGCCGACGCCGACGACGCCGACACCGACGACGACGCCGACACCGACGACGACGCCTGCGCCGACGTGGCGGCGGGAGGGAGGTAAGATCGGAGGGAGAGATCAAGCGAGAGTCCCCGCCAGCCGGAGGGCCTGGAGTCCTGGACGCCGCGGCCGTCCCAGGCGCTCAAGGAGCCAAGGGTGCCCTGACGGCGTCCGTGAGCTGGGAGGAGCTAGAGGTGTTTACACACCAAGTCATCTGGAGCTCAGCAGGGCTGAACCTAAACGGTGTTTTTCTCTTTTCGTTCTGTTTTCGTTTTCCTTCGTTCTGTCGTGAATCCGCCTTCGCTGCAAAACGACTTCGAAGCGAAAACGGCTCACGAAGTTGCCAAAACACCGTTTAGGTCCATCCCTGCACCAAGTCATCTGGAGCTCAGTGTACCGACGCCTCAGCTTCCCAAGCTGCGGAACGCTAGACCGCATGTGCACCGAACTCCTTCGCCGAACTCATCGGCTCACTGGCCGACCGAGCGAAATGGCGGATACGTCGTGCCCCTGGGAACAACTCTCTGGAACGACATTTCACGGCCTTGCAGATGAGGTCGGAGAAGATGGGGTCGGAGGATTGCGCCGCATCGCCGATGCAGCACCGGGGACGTCGGCGATGGATCGGCAACGTCGGCGTGGTAAGATCGGACTCCACATCGAGCCGCGTCGCCGATGAATCGGCGATGCGGCGCGATCAACCTGCAACTCCACTTCGACCCTGTTTGGCCTGCCTGAAACCAGAAACTAGACTTCGTGCGGGCATGTCCTCCAACATGCGGGTTTTTGACGGACCAAGTTTTAAACCACAAAAAATACCCCGACATATATATATATATATATTATATATATATATATATATAGATATATATATATATATATATATAGACTGCCCCCAGACTATATTTTGACTATTCTTGATTTTTCCAGGACGGGCCCGACTGAAGACTAGACGGGCGCGGTGGACACGCCGTGCCCCTCCGAAGGGCACCCTGGGAGCGGCCTCGCCCCCGCCTCCCGCCCTGGCCCTCCCCGGAAGCCAAAGAATTAACTATGCCCGCGTCCACGGCCTCTCGCGGGCTAGGCGACCCTGGGGCGCGCCCCCGCCGACACGGGACGCTGTTCTTCGCGGAAGCCCCACGCGGATGGGGGCGAACAGGGGGGAGCAATACAGCGAAAACGTGTAGTAAGGACGGGTGGCAAGGACGCAAGACCCCTGGAGGCCGAAGCTGGGATCTCTTGGGCGGCGGGCGACCAACCCCCAGGGGTGCCCTGAGAGGCTGGCAAGTGGAAGCGGCAAAGGACGGGCCGCAGAGGCAAGGACACGAGGGCTACCTTAGACAACGCGCGCGTCCTCACTATGCGCGTCGGCTGTGCATGCGTCCGAGGGCGCCGACGGCCCGTGTCTTCGGCGAGGCCCCCCAACGAACACGCGCGATGCCCGCCCCTGGGCCGATCGCCCCCGGCGCGGCCTCCCACCCGTGCGACCGCGCATCCGCGGATCCGCGCCCCGGCATCCAGACCGCGAGAGCACACGGATGTGGTCGGTGAGCCGAACAAGAACATCAGCACAGAAACCAGGAGGGCCGCGCGGATTTCTCAGATCGGCGCCTCCTCCTACAGGCGGATATTCGAGAAAAATCAAAAATACCCCAAAAAGTAACCCAAATACGTCAAAAAATAATAGAAAATTCGTCCCCCGAGTATTTCTTTACTATTTTTGATCACTCCTCTTGTACAGGGACACGCCCGACGTAACCCTGGCGCGCGGAGCGCGCCAGGGGCGGCGCCGCTCCGAGGGTTCATGCTTGCAGCAGGGGCCCGACCACAAGACACCGCCCACAAGAAACCCCAGCCCTGAGACCCCAGGAGACGTCCATGCACTCTTGGCGTGGGCACGTCGCGCTCTCCACAGCAAGACAATCGAAGCCCAAGAAACCCAGGGCACCCTCTGGAGGCAAGCAGGGTGCCTCTTGGCATGGGTCTCGTCTGTATGCCTAGACAAAGGCGTCCATCGATGTTTGGTGTGGGAGCGTCACGCTTGCCATGGCAAAACCATCGAAACCCAAGAAACCCAGGACACCCTGGAGGCAAGCAGGGAGTTTCTTGGCATGGGCCCCCACTGTACAGGCCAGGGTGGCCCTGAGAGAGACTGTCCTTCGGTGAGTGGCTTTCGGGGGCCGTGGGAGGGCCGAATCCAAGCGCGCAGAGCGGTGCCGGGGGAGACCCCTGTGAGCCCGCACCAAGAAGGTCAATCCGGTGAAGGGTCGCTCTTCACGCGAAGCCGACAGAACAACTCGGAACGATAGGCTTGCCCCGGGGAAGGGGTCGAAGGAGGCCAGGAGGACGGCCTCGCTGTGCGCTTCGGCTTCCCCTCGAGGGGGGGGGGGAGGGGGCGACGTGGAGGTCGGGCAGAGGCAAGGGTGGGGCCTGGAGGAAGATGGCGCTGCATAGCCTCTGGAACACAACAGTGTGAGCACCCAGCTGGGTTCGCTCTCTGACCCTACCTGGGAATACCAGGAGAGCCCAAAAACGAATCGATAAGTCGGGTCGGCGATCGAATGGAATCGGATCGGCGGAAATCGGCAGCCGAGTCCGGAAAAGTCCAATCGGCGGAAATCGGCAGGCCAGCAGGCCTCCAGCGAGACATCGGAGCCCAGCTCGGAATCCCAGGTCGAGCCGAGTCGGCATCGGAAGCCAGCGAAGCCGAACCAAGTCGCATCTTGGGAATCGAAAAAAGCCTTGGAACCACCGCCCCCCTCTGGACCCCCCGAATGCGGAGGTCTGCGGCGGCCTCTGCGGCGTTTTTGCCGGGTCGCGGCTGGCCGTCTCGGGCCGCGCGCTCCGGTGTGCCTCGGACCCCACTGGCGCTGCCTCCTCCTCCCCGTCGTGCTCCTGCCTCTCCTCCTGCTCCCCCGCCTGCTCCTGCAACACGCCATCCCACGTGCCCCAACCCCCACACACTCCTAATCCTCATCAGCGTCCTCTTCAGTATCACCAACTCCTCCAACCGTGCTCCTCAACTCCTATTCTCCTCCTCCTCCCTCTTCTACTCTTTCACTCCCTCCACCTCCTCATCCGCCCCCTGCTCCCTCCTGCGAACAAGGGGGAACAGATTGACCAGAATGCACTCCGCCAGGTGCATTCGCAGCTTGCTACGTGTCGCACCTTCTCTTCTATCGCTATCGTCATCGTCATCGAATCCGTCGTTATCGTCATCATGATCAGCATCATCATCCTCATCCGATCATCATCATCATCATCATCATCATCATCATCATCATCATCATCATCATCATCATCAGCATCATCATCATCATCATCAGCAGCAGCAGCATCATCAGCAGCATCAGCATCAGCATCACCAGTATCATCATCATAAGCAGCATCAGCAGAATCATCATTATCGTCCTCATCATCGTCATCAGGATCATTATCAGCATCATGATCAGCAGCATCATCGTAATCAGCTTCAGCATAACCATCACCATCACCATCACCAGAAGCATCAGCATCACCATCAGCACCATCACCATCATCATTACCATTCCACTCACCATCACCATCATCATCAGCATCAGCAGCATCAGCAGAATGATCATCACCACCATCATCATCAACAGAATCAGCACCAGCATCATCATAATCATCATCATCATCAGCATCATCATCATCATCAGCATCATCATCATCATCATCATCATCATCATCATCGCCTTCATCATCACCATCGTCACCATCGTCACCATCGTCATCACCATCACCACCACCACCATCATCATCAGCACCAACATCATCATCACCGCCATCATCGTCATCACAATCACCATCACAATCATCCTCGTCGTCGACATGGTTACCGTCAACACCATGATCAACAAGATCACCACCATCATCATCATCACCATCATCATCATCATCATCCTCATCGTCACAATCACAATTAAACCTAATCATCAGCATCATGAGCATCATCATCGTCGTCGTAGTCATAGTCAGAATCATCACCATCATCATCAGTGGCATCATCATAGCCATCATCATCTCAATGTGAAGCGTGCTTTGGAACAATCAGCTCGTAGTTTGACCTCCGTTGTCCACAGAGTTAACGCCCAACGCACATTAATTATGACAGCTGGTTTGGCGCAAGCTGTTTCGATTGGAAAACTACATGGCAACCAACATAGAACAGCATAGCGAGGGGGAGGATGGAAACGATGCGCCACCTTCGCAACCCTGTATCTCTTTCGGGCTCAAGAACTCGTGTGAGCACAGACGCTCAACCAAGACGGACTGGGCCTTGCGTAAGCCAAACAATTGACTGTACTCTGGCGCTGCAAGATGCAAAAAGAAAATCGGCCAACAATCATCACGTCCTCGGGGACTCAAGACTACCGCAACGGCCGGAGGAGAGAGTCAGCCCTTCAGTGAGCATGGCCAGGTGCCAAGATTGCACCCAAGCATCCAAATCCACGTGTCGCCGATGGCTCCGTCATGATCATGTCGTAACTTCGTCACCCCGATGATTTGCGGTTGCGATGGAGCCCAATAACCCTTCAGAATCATTCCTGGCATGTGATCTTCTCTGCTTGGTATCTGCACTCGCAGGGTCACTCCAAGCACTTGCAAAAGACGGCGCACGCTCCGAAGCAAAAGCAGTGGCTATAAGTCTGATGTTGGCTGCGTTTGGGTTATGATGGGTTATGGCGGGCGTCGTCGTGCGCATGGCGAAGCCCATCGCGCACTCGATTGTTTCAGCAACCATACGAATTCCAGGATGGCACAGCATCACGGCCTTCATTCGCCTGGTTACGAATCTTGCAGTGGATTGTATCAAACGAAAGCACGTGCATGTCAATTAATGCGATTGGGTATCACAC